ACAACAACAACAACAACAACAACAACAACAACAACAACAACAACAACAACAACAACAACAACAACAACAACAACAACAACAACAACAACAACAACAACAACAACAACAACAACAACAACAACAACAACAACAACAACAACAACAACAACAACAACACTGTGAGTTAAACATGAACTGAATATAACGCAGGTTTGAGGCAGAGCTTACTTCAGCAGAACAGCTGCAGTGAAGAAACCGAAAGAGAAAGCGATCAGAGATCAACATCAGGAACACAGCTATTAGCTTCAGCATCACAGACGATGTTGAGGCGGGTTTGTGAACATGTTACAGCTTTGTTTGAGCTGTACTGCCTAAAATGGCAAAGTGACCCAGTTCACCAACACAGACCTGACAGCAGCACAATGAAGATCACAAACCTTCACAATAACACACTGTTCTGTGCTTCCCTCGTGTTCTAGACACTCAGAGAACATGCTTTAGTACAACAGACTCAAACAAAGGAGAACCGAGCCTGACAAGCCCTGCTCGCTTTATCACCCGACGCTAGCACTGACCCGCATGCAGCCGCTTACATTCAACTATGTTTCTGAAAGATTCTGGACAGATTTGCTTTGATGCACTTGTTGAGTTGAGAGCTGCTTGGCCTTCAGAGACGCATAAACTAATGCCACGCGTGTGCAAGCATCTGTGGATCATCTATAAGCGCTTATAGCCGCACAAACCTGAGAATGGTTGCGGTGTGAAGCCTCCGGTTGATTCTTCTGATGTTCCTCTGATTGTGAGGAAGAGCCGCATTCAGCGCCTGATCCGCGCACTCTCTTGCTTTCCCGCAAACCAGATCTTACACTAATGTCAGTTACGACACCATACGGTAACATGCACGTTTGTTTAAAAGCAGAATTAATAAAAAAAAAAAAATTTTTTCAGGCGCCGTATTTAACTGAACTTATTAATAACATGTCGGTCGTGTTCTGGCTACGCATGCAGCAGCGCTGACTAATGACGTTAACCAATCAGAAGAGTCGTTTGATACCACGTGACCAGCGTATCAGGATGCTGCGTCACACGCCATATTTATATATATATATACTCCTGACTACCAGGAAAAAAAAAAACCGTTTTATGAATTTAGTATTTTGTCATGTCATTGCATTGTTTAGAGCATAAAAAAATTTGGCAAAATAAAATTTTTGAAAAATGATATTTTATTCATATGTTATGCCATGTCCTCTGTAGAGGACATCGGGACTTTAAAAAGTCCTGTTTTAAAAAAAAATAAAAATACATGAATAGACATGAAAAGGTAAAAAGAGTGGGATTTTTGTTTTAACCACAAATCAGTTTTAATTTTTTTTATACCAAACTTTATATAAAGACGATTCTCAAATATGTTATGAAATATATTTTTAAAAAACATTTTTCTTTATGCAAAATGTGTGTAAAATGGCCATAAACGAGTTTTTCCATTATATACAATGTATCTATGAACTGTATCTAATTTGCATATTAATGTGTTTTTGGGGCAACATAGAATGAACAAATAAGTGCAATAATGGGAGTAATAATTAGCAAGATTTTCATAATAATAT